AAGGAAGGAAGGAAGGAAGGAAGGAAGGAAGGAAGGAAGGAAGGAAGGAAGAAAGAAAGAAAGAAAGAAAGAAAAAATTTTTTGTGCCATGCAAGCTCCTTCATCGCTTTTAAAATAGTGTTCCCCATAGCGCTCATTAGGGAAATAGGGCGGTAGTCAATCTTATTACTGCTCCTCTAATTCATTTCCATTAAAAAACCCAACTGCTCTTTCTCATTCACTCACTGCCACTGAATTGAGTCTGACTCTTTGCGACCCTATAGGACAGAGCAGAACTGCCCCTGTGGCTTTCTGAGACTGCGGCTCTTTACAGGAGTCGAAGGCCTCGTCTTTCTCCCAAGGAGCAGCTTCTGGTTTTGACCTGCTGGACCTGTGGTTAGCAGCTCAATGTGCAAGCACTGACTCTATAACTGCTCTTAGACTGCTGAACAATGACTACATTGTAAACAATACCCTCAGCACCCTTGCTCCACTCTGGGGGCTAAAGTTTTACTTCTATATCACTTCGCTATATGCCTGGGAAATGGTTCTCACCCACTGTTTGACCACAGGCCTGATGATGTGTGATATTTATTTAGATCTTTGGTTCTTCTTTTTTCTTCCTTTTTTTGGTGATAATTTGTAAATTTTCATATGCATATAAAAAGGTAGACTTAGCAGAATGTTACAATAGACAAACATGAAGCCAAATACCCAGAAAGGCCAAATTCCATAGCAAGAGAATAATCCTCCGAGAAATAGAAGTATCCAGCTCCTGGCACCAGGCTAGTATTCATTACTGAATTGATTCCTTTGCTTTCATCTACAGGGTAGTCTTGTTACTGAGCCCTTTAAATTATCTTGACTAGAGGGTCAACAACAACAAAAGGAAGGCCCTCGATGCGATAGACTGACGGTGGCTGCAACAATGGGCTCAAACACAACAATCGTGCAAGACCAGGCAGTGGTTCCGATCTGTTTTACCCGTGGTTCCTATGAGTCAGAACCGACCCTACTGCTTCTAGCACCAACAGCCACAATGTTGTGCTTTGGGGATGTTTAATATAAAATACTGTGTGAGAAGGATGGGAAAAGAAAAGTGGTTGTGGAAATTTATAAAACTGGTTTATAAATCCAAGAGGGCTTCAACAAGTTGTTGAGAAAAGATAATGGATTTTTTCCACAATCTTTTTGAAGCCCCTTTATAAATTCAGAGAGAATCTCTTTCAAATCCTGACGCTGGAGAACAAGACTAATCCTAGATAATAGACTCATTTTAGTTACATCAGAGTTTTCCTTAATGCAGTAAGGAGCCCTCGTGGTCTTGGTCATTGGTTATGCATTTGGGTTGCTAAGTGCAAGGCCAGCAGTCTGAACCCATCTGTCACACTTAGGGAGAGTGAAGCATCTGTCAGCTCTGGTAAAGATTTATAGCTTCCCCCCAGAAGAATTTACTTCGGAGGACAGTACTGAAGCTACAGCTCAGGGACAGGAACATGTCTGATCAGAGCACACTGGAGCAAATGAAGAGTGGGGAGGAGAGAGTGGAACACAGCCTGGCCCACCGGGCCTTGAGGACGATATCCCTGCTCAGAGCAGCCAATGCACAGAGAAGAGCACATGGCCGGCCCCACTATGAGACAGGGCATTCCTCGCTGATCCATAGCCTTATGGGGACAACACTGGACACAGTGTGGGGAATTACATGTGATCTGACCCCACCACACCAAGGAAAAACACTAAGGGTGTGCAACAGAACAGCAAGGGGAGCAGAGCAAGGAAGTCCCAAGGGAATCCCCAAAATAGACTTTGGGTCCAGGGTGTGGCACCCCATTAGACTCTCCACTGGAAAACACTCCTAAAGGTCAATCAACAAACAGACCTTGAACTATTTACAGGCTTTTCTCTCTTTTGGGGGGCATTGGTTGTTTTTTATTTTGTTTTCTTTTGTTGCTTCATTTTGTTCTGTCTTGGTTTTGTTCATATTATTATCTCTGCAGGTCTATCCAGATAAGATAGGCATGATAAATAATCTGGAGGAGAAAACAACAGGAACAACAGTTCTGGGGCAACATGGGAGAGCAGAAAGTGGGGGAAAGGAAGTGGGTGTTAACAAACCCAGGGACAAGGGAACAACAAGTGATCCAAAATCAGTGGTGAGGAAGGTTTAGGGCTTGATCAAGGGCAATGTAACCAAAAGGAATTACTGAAACCCAAATGAAGGCTGAGAATGATAGTGGGACAAGAGGAAAGTAAAAGGAAATAGAGGAAAGTGTTAGGAGGCAAAGGGCATTTATAGAGGTATAAATATAGGCATGTACATATGTAAATAAATATATGATGAAGGGGAAATGGATGTATGTGCATATATTTATAGGTTTAGTATTAAGGTAGCAGATGGACATTGGGCCTCCACTCAAGTACTCCCTCAATGCAAGAACACTTTGTTCTATTAAACTGGCTCACCTTCCTAACACGATCGCTGAAGACAAAGCGGGTGCATAAGCAAATGTGGTGAAGAAAGCTGATGGTGCCCAGCTATCAAAAGATATAGCATCTGGGGTCTTAAAGGCTTCAAGGTAAACAAGCGGACATCTAACTGAGAAACAACAAAGCCCATATGGAAGAAGCACACCAGCCTGTGTGATCATGAGGTGTCAATGGGATCAGGTATCAGGCATCAAAGAACAAAAATCATATCATTGTGAATGAGGGGGAGTACGGAGTGGGAACCCAAAGGACATCCCCTTACAGAAGGGACGCTAGGAGGAAATGAGCCAGTCAGGGTGCGGTGTAGCACCGATGAGTCATACAATTTTCCTCTAGTTCCTAAATGTTTCCTCCCCCCAACTACCATGATCCCAATTCTACCTTACAAATCTGGCTAGGCCAGAAGATGTACACTAGTACAGATAGGAATTGGAAACACAGGGAATCTAGGACAGATGATCCCCTCAGGACTAGTGGTGAGAGGGGCAATCTAGGGGGTGGAGGGAAGTTGGGGAAGAAAGGGGAACCAATCACAAGGATCTACATATAACCTCCTTCTTGGGGGAAGGACAACAGAAAAGTGGGTGAAGGGAGATGTCGGACAGTGTAAGGTATGACAAAATAATAATTATAAATTATCAAGGATTTGTGAGGGAGGTGGGGCAAGGAGGGAGGGGGAAAAATGAGGAGCTGATACCAAGGGCTCAAGTAGAAAGAAAATGTTTGAGAATGATGATGGCAACAAATGTACAAATGTGCTTGACACAATGGATGTATGTATAGATTGTGATAAGTGCTGTATGAGCCCCCCAATAAAATGATTTTTTTAAAAATTTACAGCTTCAGAAACCCTTGGCAGCAGCTCTCCTCTATCCAATAGGGTCACTATGGCAAAATTCACTAGATGGCAATTGATTTGTGTGTGTGTGTTTTTAGCATCGTGGTCATGTTAGGGGTTGATAAGAAGGTCTCTCTGACAAAGAAGGTTCTGTTGCCATAGGAGAGACAAAGCACAAACCGACAAGAAGAAGAATCTGGAAAGAAAGCAGTGGCTAGGAAGAGGGCTTACATCTTACTCAATTTTGTTTTCCAACGAGGCTTGAAGGTGCATCCGTCGAATAGAGTTAGGAGAGTATTTCCACGACTACCTTTCTTATGTAACTTTATTGTATGTGTGTATTTGGTGGTTGGGTTTGTTTGTTTTTTAATTTAGTTCTCGGAAAATCTTTTTTCTATTGTGGGTCACTGGTGTCATCTGCCTTTCTGTATCCTTTGTTTTCTGCCAGGAAGCCCAGAGATAAATATAAACTCAGTCTCTATGGTAGCCTTCTGGTTTTGCTTCCTTACTTTCAGTTGTGCATACGGGTTGTAAGTCTTGCGCTTGGGACTAACAAACCCTTCCACTCCTCTTTTATTGGCTAAAGCAAGTCATATGGCCATGCCTCATTTTAAAGAAAATGAGGAAGTGTCTATCACATGCCATGAAGGAGAACCAGGAGAATCAGGAAGAGAGCCAGGAACTACGACTGTACCTCTCTCCCTAGAAGCATTTTCCTGCTTCCTCAGGAAACCTGGTGTGGCTTGAACTTGGTGCACAGCTAGACCCCAATTTTATATTGCTTACTATGAAAATAATAAATAATATGGAGGACCGTTTGCCTATTTTAGAAAATATTTGCTCTTGGTATCAATACTTTCAAAATGTCCTACAATAGTTTAAATCAATATTTTAGTTTCATGATTTATCTATGTTGAATTACATAGATCTGGTTCATTTATTTAAATGTCTGTATATCCTGCAATATATTTATCCACTCCCCTATGAGGGCACAAATGATTTCCAATTGTTTATTGTCACTAATAGCGTGGTATCCTAAATAGGACATTCTCCGGCAGTCTTCTTCACCGAGATTAACAAGACAGACATCCGAAAGTAACTATTACATGTAACAGACAAACTTCTTTCCTATGACCTAAAATTAGAGTACTACTTATGAGGCATCCTTGGAAAGCTGAGAAAATAGTTACTCAAATCATTTACTCTGTTCTGTGGTCCGAATGAGGAACTCTAGTTGAGAAATGCTGCCTGACACACAACCTAGAAGTAGATTGCAAGGTCTCAGAATAAGGAGATTTTCAGCTTTACTAAAGAGCACTGCACTGGGCTCCAACGTGGACAATCGACACTTCCATCACAAGTGCCTGAGCGGTCTCACTGTCCTTTGGCGGCACTGCTATTGTTCGTCATTTTGCTTTGGCCAACCTACCAGGTATGAAATAATATCCCATTGCTGTTTGAAGTTGTGGGGCCCTGAGTAGGAGCGAACTAGAACTTTTTTTGTTTTTCATATTTGGTCTATCGGAGTCTCTTTTCCTGTCAAATTGCTTGCCATTTCTCAACTAGGTTGTGTAAG